AAATTTAAACGTTTTCAAGTAAATGAATTCCTCCTTGCTTATTTGCACCTTTGTTCTTCATCTTCCAGGATAGTGCTACCGAAACTGCTCATCCGATTCGTCTGTATTGTAGATATATTGATAGGTTTTGGATGTTCTTTCGATTCACAGCAGAAGAAGCCCGCGAGCTTATTCAACGTTATCTCACCGAACATCCGGACCCCAACAATGAAAATATCGTTGGATATAATAACAAACGATGCTGGCCAAGAGATAGTCGAATGAGACTAATGAAACATGACGTCAATTTGGGACGCGCTGTATTTTGGGATATAAAAAATCGCCTCCCTCGTTCGGTAACAACCATAGATTGGGATGCTAGCACCTTTGCCTCCGTATACAGCAAGGATAATCCAAATTTGCTTTTCTCCATGTCTGGTTTCGAATGCCGTATTCTTCCTTCGTGTAGAGCTAGTGGTCAAGCCACAGACATCAACTTGCCCAGCGGAGTTTGGCATCTTCAGAATGAGGTTGGTAGTTTTAGAAGCGCGAATGCATTCCTAATCTAAGTCTAGGCTTAATTATCAAGATATAGACAACTAATTTCTTGGATGCTTTCCAACTTTATTCCTATTAACACATCTTCCTTTAAAAGGTGACCAAAGAACGTACTGCTCAATGCTTCCTTCGTGTAGATGATGAGTCAATGCAGAGATTCCACAACCGTGTCCGACAAATACTGATGGCCTCCGGCTCAACGACATTCACCAAAATCGTCAATAAATGGAATACTGCATTGATTGGTTTAATGACCTATTTCCGAGAAGCTGCTGTGAGCACTGTCAATCTTCTTGATCTTTTAGTCAAATGCGAGAATAAAATCCAGACTCGCATAAAGATCGGCCTAAACTCCAAAATGCCTGCCCGTTTTCCTCCCGTCGTCTTCTATACACCCAAGGTACCAAAGACTAAAATCAACTTCATGTTTCAATTTTTCATTACTTCAATTTCACTTGGCACATCTTTGAATTATTATTTAAATTATAACAGCTTTAGTATATTATCTACTATTTTGTCCGGCAATTTCTATTACTCAGAAAAAAATCCGCGTTTGTGTCATATTTACGTATTTGGCTAAGAAATATTGGTTCCATTTCACTTGATATGCCTATGCATTTTTAAACTAACCTTTAATACGTTTTTAAATTTATGCTTATTATCTGATAAAAACTACACTGAATATCAGCTTATTTTAAGCTTCTATCTGGTTATATTGTCAATTGAAGTTTAAATATGAAATTGGCAACTCGCCAACTTGTTACTCAATTTTCAAGGTAATTTAAATTACATTTTTCAGGAACTTGGCGGTCTGGGTATGCTGAGCATGGGGCACGTCTTGATTCCTCAATCTGATCTCCGATGGTCTAAACAGACTGATGTGGGTATCACTCACTTCCGTTCTGGTATGAGCCATGATGAAGATCAGGTGATTCCTAATCTCTTCTCCTATATACTGACATGGGAAACGGAATTTCGTGACTCACAAAGTGTTTGGGCGGAGTACGCCCTTAAACGTCAAGAAGCCAATGCACAGAATAGGTTTGTAGAATTTATTTTGTTTTTATATTTTTGTGATATGGAGTCCTGTATTCAATATTTAGGCTAAAACTGGGAGGGAAGGATGGAAAAATGAATTTTACTAGTGACGTTTCGATTGACTTAAGATTATCGGTCAGAGTTGTGATTTATTTCTGCCTAATTTCTCGTATAAGTGAATTCAACGTAGTTATCATTTTGTCTCAAAATAGAAGAGGTCGATTCTCCATTATACTTATTGTATGCACGAACAGCTGATGATTAATTATACTTATTAAAGGAAAAAAAACCTGTTAAACAGAAGTTTTTAGTCTTGTGAGGCCATGTCTGCATTTTCATTATTT